TGAAGAGTAGGAGGGAAAAAGGCATTGAGTTTATTGCAGGCTTTTTGTTCAGAAACTATATATTTAGATTACACACTCCTAATACAATAAAGACAGGATTGCCAATTAAAAAAAAAAAAATATATATATATATATATATATAATTTTTTTTTTTGCAAACAAGCAGTCATACTACAACTTTATTACTTAAACGTAGATGTTACAAATTTTACATTTGAATTTACTACTACAGCTATGCTGCTTTGTACTATAGTGCAATTTACCCAGTTTCTATTTGGACCTATGTACGACATGCCAGAGTAGAAGCAACCTCCTTGCTTATCTAAATCTACCTCAGATTTAGAGTCTACAAATTACCAGCTGGGATCTACTAGCCTGCCATGACTACCCATCCCTTCTTGAAAACTTTTCTTGCCTAGATCCAGGCAGAATAGTTTATCTTTTACTTTTCTATAAGGGAATATCATATGTCAAATTTACCAAAGAAAAACAAAATTTAGGAAAGAAAGAGACAAAAAAAAAAGAAAAAAAAAAAAACATATTAAAAACAGTATGTTCTAAATCTAATTCCATCATAAAGGGAAGAAGATGAAAAAAGCATAAAAAGAGACAAGGTATCATGACATACATTTAAAAAAAAAAGAGGTGTACTATTATAATCTGTGCAAGGCTGAAAAAATTATATACTACATGCAACGTTTGTATATTTCTATTGTAAAGCTTCGCCTTAACTTTGGGTTTTTCTTTCTGACCATTCAACATACTCCAGATAGTTTTGCTCTTGCCCGTTTTAATTTGTATCTCAAGCCAGGTGCTGCCACCATCCATAGACCCATATCTCAAGCCACCTGCTGCCGCCATTAGGAGTACCTTCTTCCTTATTAGAGTTTCTTATCTAGGGCCTAATCCTGTATAGAGGCACTGTATTCATAAAACACGTGGTTGCAGTCTAATGGGTATCCGAATTTGGAATGTAAACAATGCCGATCTTTTGGAGGGGGTAAACCAAATCCCCACTTTTTTTTAAAAAATTTTAGAAGACTGGCAGGAGAGTAGAAGTAAGTAAAAAAGGAGTCACTTGTTTGAATAAAGAAGTGTGGCTTGAGAATAGCAAGTTCTTCACTGTTCCCTAGTTATTTTGCAACAGGTTGCTTCGTCAACGGAGAAACCCTATAATCTTCACCAAAATTTTATATACAAGGGCACACTTCCCCAGCCAGTTATCTTGTATAAAGACGTTTTTGGCTTGCATATCAAATATATAAAGGAGTCCCCATAGATCACAAGAGGTTGACCTTTATAAAAACCACACTGTTGTCTATCTACTACAGGTTTTTTTTACTTCTCCAGTGTTCAAACTTAACTTTTCTTTTGTAGGAAATTTTGGTTCAAATGATCGTCGAGAAGAGTGTTTTGGGATGTACTATGAAAAAAAAAATATATAATTTATACTACGCTATTCTAATGTTACATTGTATTACAACCTGCTTTGTAACAATACAAAATGATTAGAAAACCAATTAAAATATCAAATTGAATACAATATGTAGATTTTTTTGTATAACAAAAATAAAGTAAAAAACTAAAAATAATTATTTTATTCTAAACACTAATACTAACTCTAATATTAAATTTACATGTTACACAAACACCCAGATTTAATACACTAGGTGTCAAATTAGTTTTTTCTTACTTTTAATTTTTTAATCTAAAATATAAAATAAAAGTAATATAATTTTTATTTTTAAATACAGTATAATACTAGTAAATTATTTTAAAAAATGAATTTATAATATAGTAATTTTAAACAAACTTGCTTAAAATATTTATAAAAAAAAGTTTTTATAAAAAATACTGTATATAGTATTATAAATATTGCAAAAATAATATATATATATAGGGTATATATAGTACAATATATAATTAATAATTATATATACAGTATATTGACACTAATTAATAAATATATATTGCAAAATTATTTTATATAAAAAACCATATATGTATATATAATAATTGATTCTTACAACGTATGAATTTTGAAAATAATCGTCAAGCCCGGTTTTTTAATTTTAACTATAAAAAAAAAAGGATGGTACATACGTATAACGATAATAATTTTTCAAAGATTCGCAAAAAACTGACCCGACAGGATTATGATTCATTCTATATGGAGAGATTGTGATATTTTATATTACGAGTTAATTTTAATAATTTTATTTAATAAATAAATAAACAGTAAACGTCATTATCAAAAAAAGGCCAATAACCTGACTATTAAATTATTACACAAGTTTATATAATATATATTTATTATATAGTATAAAATTGAAAATTGATTGTTTCTCATAACCCCACCGGGTCAGCTTTATAAAATTTCAATCCAAAATTTTGTTATTTATATTATGGATGAGCTTTTGAAAAAAATTTGGGTTTAATATTTTTCTCTAGATAAAAAAACAAAAGTTTTGTAATTAAAATTAAAAACCGGGCGGGTCACTTTAAATTTTATGTTATGAGAAACAATTAATTAACTTTATGTAGCCTAATATCGATATATAGATAACAAAAAAATTTTTCCATTGTGTGATATAAGTCTTTATCACAAATACTTCGTAGTTTCATTGTCCATTCAGTCACTTTAATGTCACGTTTTTCACATGATATATTGCCGAATATTTGATTGGTCCAACTCTATCAGATAAATTCTATAATTATATCAGAAATCCAAAAAAGTAAGTTTTGCCACTTAAACTCAGCTATCCTGTATGATTGCTGTATGTGTTACGACTTTTTGAACTTTTTCTTGAAAATTTGTAGTGTAATAAATTCCTCTTATCGAATAGCAGTTAAGTCCACCATAGGCATTCTTAACGCCCAAAGTATTTACACTAACTATGGAATCGTCGAATAATAACACCACTTCACCGATTGAATCTTTTACCACGAATGTTATAACTCTTGTATGTTTCCGTTTATGTTGAAGTAACTTCTCACCTGACAGGGAGACGTCTTATAACAAATAATAAATTATCTTTCGGTTCTTTGTAGTCTAACATTGTGAGTGTAGGCTGGCGCAAGTATTCTTATGCTTGTTCCTCCGACCAACTCCGCTCTTTTATCACCTCCGCACCTCTACTGTCGTCGTGGTCAGAAGCCACTAGTCTTCCACCAATGGACGATCCTATCGTTGCTAACTACTTGAAGCTGCTCGAAGAAGGAGTTCCATGTACGTGGCAATACAGTGGTGAATCAAAAGGTAGCTTTGAAAATCTTTTTACAGACAATATGATACTGCATAGAGAACTGTGGATTTTTTGGCTTGAGGGGCAAAAAAATGACCTCTCCTCTCAAAATAGTTTGTATCAGTTAAAAGGCGAGTAATGCTTCATTTGTAAATTTTGATCACTACTAGCATTCAATTTAACTAATTCATCAATTATTATTAATTTGTAGATTTGAAACAAACAGATGGAGGAAGTTTCTCTTTGAAAGATATCGATTCTCACACAACAGAATATCATTTATTCATAAAATCTATTAAAAATTTAATAAGCCGGTGTGATATTTATTGTCTCATACTCTTTGTGCAAGATGTAAACTTGATTAAATTTTAACTAATCTTTTTACTTTACAAAATTAAAGATCTTTAATAGGGAAAGGTGCAGTCCCTTTGGGTGAATGGAACGCCTTTCCACAAAATTTTCAGATAGTATATGAAAGGTTAGATAAAGTATATCTATAAATATATATAGAAAACAATTATTAAAACTATAAATTTTTTCATTTATCAGTATATTATGCTGCAAATGTGAGGTACATCTAACGGCCACAAATTTAATCATCCAGCCGATTGTAAAATATCAAAGTTTACGTCCTCTAGAGCCTAGCGACCTTGAATCACCAGATAGCATACGAACCGTAATATCTCCTTCTGGTCTACGAGCCGATATACTGCCTATTCAGCGCTATGAAGAAGAGGACGTATCTGCTATCTCGAAAGAGTTCAAGACATTTTTTAATCTTGATACATCAAAAATGTCTGGCACAAATGAATCATATTTACCTCCTTTAGTGCAAATATCAATAAAGCAAGATGTTATAAAAGAATTTCCTTACCCTTCACAATATATATATGTTGTTACTGAGGGTAATATAAGCTATCAACGTGGAATTTCGGATTTCGGAATGGGTCCTGTATTATGGAGCAATTTGGACGGTGGATTAACAAATAATATTTTGTCAAAAGAACAACTTCTAAATGACATCAATTGGTGGCACTACAATGATCCGTTACGTGATGTGGTAACCGTACTGAACCAAAGGGATTTTCATGACTCAAGTGTCCCATCTCCATCCGGTCCAGAAACTCCAATAGTTAACGTAACATTTAATGCAAACTCCCCAGCGCCTTCTTTAGCTCCTGTATCAAGGTCCAAAAAACGACCTTTGGGAGACACAAGAGCTTATCCATCTCCACCTGATGTAGTCCAACCGATGCCTGCTGAAGGATTGATTCCACAGCTGCAAAATGAAGATGCATTATCTATCAATGACAACATGATGGCTATGATGGAGTTTGACTACGATCCAAACTTCACGGAAATAACGGATGCAGATTTTGATGTTTTTAATAATAGTGGAGAGGTTTGTATATATATATACATATGCTTTTCTTAAATAAAAAAAAACCCCGATCATTACTAGTCACAAAAGACACGTTCTGATATAGTACAAATTTTCCTAACTATATGAAGCCTCTAGTTCATACAACTGCGCCAACAAATTATCTAACACCAGCACCAGATACAACAACAGTTGTCAAAGAACCAATATCTATTACACCACAGTCTCCACCGAAGAAAGCAAACAATAGTAATTTCGCTGATGATCTTAAGTGTTCTCCAGATAAAAAGACAAATCCACTAGTTCCTGCTGAATACGCCCCATTGGAATTCGTCAAAGGCGTGGATGATTCTAAATATCTTCCTGGTGGAAGATTCTTTATACACACCAATCGGAAAAAACGGAAACGTTATATATACGGCCCTGAATACATTCCACTACCGAAATTAAAGCCCAAAAAGCAAAAAATCTTGAGCAAAATTCCGAAAAATGAAGTGGAAGATAATGAGTGTTCAAGTTCTGAAAGTTTCACAGAGGGTAGTGATTCTAGCTATGATAGTGATTCGAATTGTGATAGTGACTCAAATTGTGATAGTGACTCGGACAATGATGTAAACACCAAACAAATGGGCGCTCTGACAATGAATTCTCGAAAATTAGAATTTATAAATGCAGGACGTTTATCAATGATGATTGATGGCCTTTCTAGTTGCCGAATGCTTCGTACATTAAATGAATCCGAATCAAAAGGTGACATAACGAAAGTTGCTCTTACATATCTTTGTGAACAAGTTGTACTTGGTTCCTACCCTTTTGGAGTCGGTATTCGTGGCGAAGGAGAAAGTACGCATGAGCTACTAGAATCTCACAGGTGTCTCGTTGAAAATTTAAGTGGAGGTAAAATTAATTATTAATTTGATAATCACTTTGCCAACAGTCATTTCACTGACTGGATCGGTTCATCGACAATCACTTCACAACAAACATTATAAGAAACCATGTTTTATATAAATTTGATATAATTTAGAGATTATTAAAGGTTAAGGTTAGGATGAGTTCTAGTATAGTTATTTTCATGTTAAAGTATGATAAGCAATAGGAAAAATTGTCCGTGAAGTGGTTTATAGTGAACTGACCTATTCATTGAGATGAACTGTCGATGAATTTGACATTCGGTGAATAAACACTTGATTAAATTATGCGAAATTTTTAACTTAAATTCATATTCGATGTATATGTATGATATTTAGAGCTACCCACAGCATCTGTGCTTCCATTCGAGGTAGATAAAGTCATCACTGAAGTTAAAAAATCGATGGTTGACATATCCACTAGCATGCAAAAACCAGATGATTTGCAGTTATCTATAAAAGGGCCACTAACGGTTCGGGAATATCATAGTCTTGATGGTATACCTCACACTTATTATTTATGTTTAAGATTTAATCCTAAATCTCACATATGTTGCAATCTTTAGCATGTCACGAATCTGGCTCAACAATACAAAATAAAGGAGATATGGGATCAAACTTTCGGGAATTCTCTACCCCTGACGTTATTACTAGCGCAAATGAATATTTAATTGAAACCTCTCCTGAAATTTTAAAATTCTGGGACACTCATAAGCTTACTCCATATGATGGAGCGAAGAATGTCAAGTATCTTGTGATGTTCCCTGAATCGGATAATCTTCGTTATTACATTGAATACTTTTTTGATGAATTACGAGTTCAATACGAAGTATGTATTTGCATTATTACAGTGCATATTATTAATTTAGGATTTAGTATTTTAATTATATATTTATCTTTCGCCATCCAGCACCTCTGTGCATTAGGTTCTCATGAAGCTGCTCCTGTAACGATAAATAAAAAAATTAATAATGGCCTTGTACCGATTTCTTTAACGCGTAAGTGGTCTTTATAAAATAGCTATTACCAATTCGAATTAGGAGTTATATCCTAATATAAAATTATTAACCCGATTTAGAACCTTCGCCAAACGAGTCAGAATTATTACTACAAATTCGAAGCTACGAAGTAGCTTGTGAACGATTAGGTAACATTGGCAGTTTATTCTTGAATCATTTGAAACCAGTTCTGAATATCTTTACATTTTTAGGCAAGTCATTGGCACAATCTGCAAAACAATATGAAGATCATAACCTCGTTATATATTTGGTCAATCCATGGAACCATTTGTCGTCAAATTTCGATATTTTAATAAGTTTTGCAAAACTTAAAGCATGTTTTAAGGAAGGCAATAAGAAAAATTCATATCTCATATTTCCACAAATTGTGCCAATTGATCATATTGTTCGATTCGGTAAAACAACCAGCTCGTCGTTTAGGCCAAAACCTGTGCTTAAAGAACTAGCATTTTCTGTTTATACTAGATCTCAGGTATGTGTTTGAACAAACCATTGTTTCTTGCTAAGAAATGTTTTTTATTGACTTTTATTTTCTGTAAGACATATAAAGCACCATTCATTTTACCCAAACCAACTGTGTTATCGGTAAACTTTAAATTGACTAAAGACCCACTGCCTATCGAAGAGCTTGTCACATATGATACTATCCTTCAAATTTCGTATGGATATAGTTTTGATAAACGCAGATTGTTTTTTGTATGGGTGGATATGCAAGGAAAGCACTTAGGCTATGAATCGTTTTCCACGACAGTGCCATCGTCATCAACGAAAAATTTATTTAATTTAGCTTGGATTAAAATTCGAAAAACCATGGGAGACTATCGGCAGACAAATATCACCAAGGTCGGGGTGATAACTAAGGAAGAAAAAGATCGTATGTCGTTACAATAATTTTTTACTCATTATTTATTTATAATTTCAACCAATTTATAACATCTTTTTTTTTTTTTTACTTCAGTATGGTTACAAATAACTGGAGGCGGTATTACTATTCTATCAATTGATATTGAACCAGCCTTGACCATTAATCCTATTTTGGAAAGTAAATATCAAAAATTAAAGGCATGTGGCATGGTTTTGAATCATCCAATACCGTTACAAGATTTTCTACCGGTGGCAACCGGATATTTACTAGAAATGGATACCACCGATATAGTGTCTAGTGCTATCCAGGTAAAATTATTTCTATAACTGTTTTACATTTTCTCTTTTTTTTTTGCTTTATCGTCTAAAATTTTTTTCTAGGTTAATCTACTTCATTCACCTAAATCCGATAAGTACACACAAGTTTTATGGGATATTCTGAAACAATTTCATACCCTTACATTTATGGAAATGACCCAAACTCGCGCGTGCCTTCCATTTCACGTTCTATCCGTTGAACGACTTGCGCGAGCATTTGTAGGAGCGCCTACATAAATTGTAAACAAAATATTGATACCATACAAATTGGTCTCCAAACATCCTTTGTATTATATATGCATATATATATACTTTGTATTTCTTCTCACATACTTTATTGTATGCTTATTCTTATGTAACTTTATTTACATTATTTTTTTTTTTCACGCAGCAAAATTGCTCTTGCATTTGATTATTTGATTTATTTGTATTTTTTTTACGTCCCTTTTTTATAGGATGCTATTAGTACAGCTTTCAATGTATATATAATTTTTTTTTTTTCTTTTAGATGAATTTTATTCATATTTATCTTTAATATCGATTTTGTTTTGAGATTCTTATTGATATACATTTTAAAAGTATATATTATTACTATTTAGTAAAAATTTGAACATTTAAACGGAGGAGGGAGATAAATAAGTTATATAATTATCGTTATCCTTAAAAACATTCTAATCAATACTTGAGAATTTATGATGTAAAAATGTCATCTTAAAAAGAAGTTCTGTATAGAATTTTCTTTTCTTAATTGTAGAATTGATGACAATTTTTTTAACCGCTTAATGAGACATAGATGTATTAGTCTTTTAAAAAAAAAATTTTTCTTAAAAAAGATAATAAAATAAATAAAATAAAAATAAAGGTGTGATTTGTTTGCTTCGCTCATGAGCGTTGTTTCATTCAACCTATTTACGAAGCTCGATTAATTTATTTTTTCAATGAGTTTGACCGTCATGAATTAAGAAAGTTATAATTTGGTTCGAATTTCTGGATCGATTAAAGTTCATATTGCAAAAGAACGTGAATATTTTATGTGATACAGCAAGTAAAGATATTCAATTCAGATTTAAAATTGTCTTTGTTGGTAGGGCACAAATCCGCACTGTCGCTACAAAGTATGCCATTTGACCTGAATATTTGAGTCACCTAATCTCCCTAGTGGTATCTCCAAAAACATTCATGTAAAATTGATTGTGAAGAAACTTCGATCAACTTTAATATTATACTAGGTAAATGGAACCCATTTAAGGCCCGAAGGACTTATCACAGATCACTCAACACGGGTATCAAACATTTATTTGCATATATATAACTCATAACTTGAATTTCATAGTTTTTCTACTAAATTTTTATTTTATATAAACTTTTAATCAATTTTTTAACCCATTACAGAATTATAAAATATTTTTTAGTTAGGATAGGAAGACTTCAGAAATTATGTGAACTTAAGAAGCGATAGTAACTTCGACTTCAACCCCAGGTTCAATAGAAATAGAAGTCTACAGACGATTTAATAATTTAAAGATTAAAAGATTAATCGATAATAGTTTACAATATTAAAATGATAAAAGCATACATACAATTTGTTTTACAATTTCACTAGGAGAATGCAAGTCGATTAATCTTTTATGAATTCTCATCTCGTACCTATCCCAAGTTTTACTACCCTCACCACAAGGTGATTTACGTGTAGTAATTCTCAAAACTTTAGTGGGTAAACGTACAGGCCCTTTAACTCGCAGTTGCTTTTCCTTTGCCCGACCAATTAAGTCTGAACAAACTTTTTCTAAAGCTTTAACATTTCGTGAAGTTAAAGTGATTCGAATGCGATGAACCTATTATTTTCATTGGGGTAATATTGAATTTTAAAAGGAGGTTGATCGTATTTCTGGAGCTGAAAACAATTTAAATACTTTAGGTTGTTCATCGGAATATTCTTCTTTGCCTTTAGCGACGTAACTCATGGTTTCGTATTTCCGTTTTATAACCAAAAGACAGCGGTGACTAAAGGTTTCTTGTGTAGAATTTTTTTTTTCAATGAATTTAATATGCATGATAATCATATCTGCACATGATCAGAATTACGTCCGGTCATGTGAATCCTATTAAATACATTTTTTATTACTTTTTTTTTTTTTTATTCTTCTTCCAAACATTCACGGATAACTTGTCTAATTTCGTTTAAACCATCCCCAATACGATTAGTATTCACAGAATAAATTTTAGAAAGACGTTCAATTGCTAAAGCATTTAAATCAGAAATTGTTTTCATATCAATTGAGCTGATTGGATTGTTTATTGGAAGATTTAAAAGACGAGTTGTGCACTAAATATACAAAGTAAAGTCAGAAATATTGTTTTAATTATAATTATAACACTGTTAAAGTAGTAATTACCAGTTTAATTCCATAGAGAGCCCTAACATGATCTTCGCATAATTCAACAACACGACAAAATTCTTTTAAGGCCAAAGTAATATTATCACTTGTATCACTTGTGTATAATATTTCGGCATATTTTAAATGATAAAAATGATTTTGTGGCTGAAGTAAAATAAGTTCTTCAAGACAAAACGCAGCTTGCTGATATCTATTTTGACAAGAAGAACGTTAGCCTTGATTAATCTTTGATAATAAAAAAATCGAATGAAGGACTTACGAATGAAATCTTAGATATAGATCTGATAATTCCAGCCAGCCTTCAGCATCAGTGTAAAAATCATCAAGATATTTAGATAAAGCATCCATAGCTTGTTGATATTGACCTTTTGCTTTAAACACGGCAACTCGACGTTTTGAAGCTGCCTGTGTAAATTGGCCATATTCACAATTTAAATCTCGTATATTCTATCAAGCAAAACTAAAATGACAAAAAGAAAAGGCTTACAATATTTGAATCATCTTTTTCCAAAATTTCATCATAAAGTCGCAATGCCTCATCTAATTTATCTTCTGCCTCTAATTTCATTCCTTCTAATATCTTAACTCGAGGCGATCCAGGAAATCGTTTTTCAAGTTTTTCAAAGCATGTCTTTTATTGATTAAAAATGATGATTTAATCATTTTTTGTTCATTTGTAGCAATAAAGAATAAATAATTCAATAATTCAATAACACATATTAAACTCCTCTTTTTTTCTTTTTACCTTTGCTAATGCATCATTTCCATGATCAAGTGCAGAGATGAAAACTTGTTCATATACAGGCCAAACTATTTATTATTTAAACGTTATAAATATAGCTTTAAATACATAAAAATTTAATAATAATCTAGATGATTTACTACATACCCTCATCACCAAGTTTTCTAGTGTAGTCTCGTAATAATCTTTCGCCTAGTGAAACAACTAAAGCCGATTTCCGTTCTCCACTTTTACGTAATTCGTGAAGCGTCTCGATCGCTCTTAAATAATCAAACGGTGCCATAACTAATACAACTACTTACTGGTCAAACAAATGAATCGGAAACCAATCTCTGACGTTGGAAGGGTATCCGTTGCTTTATTTGTAGAGGATTTTCAAAATTTATTTCAGTACAAAGCGGTACAAGTATAGATTACGATATCGGATCGATTGGAGTGACACAAAATGTAGATTAGAAAGTTGTGCAGGGAGTATTGATAAAAACAATCGATGTCGATGTTGGCTCATCATCTATTAAAGGCATGTTATCTATCATTTATTTATCAGATGAAATTTACGAACACTCTTATCATATGCTTGAAATCTCTTTACCGCACACGTACTCCAAATAACAAGTAGTACACTTTTTTTTCTTCTTTATAAAAACCTTTATATCATATGAATATACTCTCTTTTGAAATGACTGAAATTGAACAAGATCATGATTACGAATCTTTACCGGCAAATTCTTCTTTGACTGCTAATCTAATCGCTGGTGCCCTAGCTGGTATTGGTGAACATACAATAATGTATCCAGTAGACAGTATAAAGGTTAGTTGTAAATTTTGGGTTTATATTTTACAAAATATTTTTAATATATATCTATTTTTTTGAAATTAATAGACTCGCATGCAAATTATAAATCCAACTCCACAAGCTGTCTACACAGGTATTGCAAATGCATTTTCTCGTATTTATTCAACAGAAGGCATTCGTACTTTATGGCGTGGCGTAAACTCTGTGGTATTGGGTGCGGGACCAGCACACGCCTTGTACTTTGGAACATACGAAGTATGTAAAGACCTATTCGGCGCAAATATAGGAGAAGGACATCACCCAATTGCCCATGGTACTATTGAATAATAGTATTAGCTCATGATTCCATTAATAATATAATATTAAATGCTAATAACCATAACTTATTCTTTGATTCATAGGAACTGCAGGTGCATGTGCGACAATAGCTAGTGATGCATTGATGAATCCATTTGATGGTACGTAAGCTTTCATTAGATTATGTAATTTAGTGTTTCAGGCTAAAAAGTCCGAAATATTTCTCCAATAAAAAAAATAAAATTTCTCAGGAACGAAATTAATCCTTAAAACATATAATAAATTTACTTTTTTTAAAAAAAAAAGTTTAAAATATTTCGCTAGCATAAAATAATATCTCATGGATGAAATATTTCGAATTTAACCGAAACACTAATATCATTGCCAATTTACGTCATTCTCATGCAAATCACTCTCATGCAAATCACTCACTAATTTTTCATTAGTTATAAAACAGCGAATGCAAGTCCATGGATCTACACACAAAAACGTGCTGGCTTGTGCTCGCTCAGTATATGCAAGAGAGGGCTTGATAGCCTTTTACGTATCGTATCCCACGACATTAACGATGACCATTCCATTTCAAATGTTTCAATTCAGTTCATATGAATATTTTCGTAAAGTGTTGAACCCTAGTGGCTCCTATGATCCAAAAACACATATGATAGCCGGTGGGCTCGCCGGTGCGATTGCAGCAGCAGCAACAACACCCTTAGACGTTGCCAAAACCTTATTGCAAACAAGAGGGAATTCATCGGATCCTCGCGTACGGAATTGCAGTGGTTTAATAGAGGCGTTTCGAATAATTTACGAACGGAATCGCATGTGGGGCTTTGTGAGAGGATTGAAACCTAGAGTATTATCACATATGCCTTCAACAGCTGTTTGTTGGTCAATGTATGAATATTTCAAATGGTTTATCACCAATAGTGGTTGGACCCGTCTGAAAAATCATGAACCCGCGGGTCACCCGGGTGGATAAATGATAAAATAACATAAAATTCTATCTTTCTTCTATAATTATAATATGAAATTAATAAAATATTTGATGAATTGCACAAGAAGTATACTAGAACTGATTCATAACATGTCAGTATAATATAATACATTTCTAACTCTTTTTAAACAACTCAAGCGCCTAGTTACATTACCTAATTTTTCATATAAGATATTTTTCTCTTTCTGTAACAAAATTATCATCTCATGAATATCATTATATGTAAGAATTTTAATTTAAACCTCAATTATAATCTATGGATACTATTTAAAAAAATTGATATGTTGATGCTCGATTAGCAGAAGGGAACACCCAAATGTATTTCCGTAGTAAATCACCAAAAATGAGACAAAAGCTGCTTCGATACTTACGTATCGAGCAGCTTTTTGTTTTGTCTCGAATCATCACGAGACCAACATGTGATATCTCCAAATATGTTCGGTCTAATGGTAAGTATGAAGTAATCTTTACGTGAGATGAGGTAATGGGAAAGTTTGAAGTTAAAACGACATTTTTTTAATAAAAAAATTCTTTATTTTTATTTATTAAAATTAATAATAACAGAAATAACAAAATTTAAATTAAGAAACCATCCTCTGCGACCTAATTAAAAATGCTCTTCCTAACCCTAACCCAGCCCCAAACTACAACGTAGAGTTCTCAGTAAAAATTACAGAAGGAAACAATTTTTGTGGGTGCGCTACCTAAAAAGTTAAGCAACGTTGATCTCAACGTTGACCTAAAAGAACCAAAAGAATGCGAAGAAAGCATCACCAAAACGACGAAGAGACCACTAAAAGAACGACGAAAGAGCCACAAAGAAGTAACGAAAGAATACCAGAAAACCACTAAAAGAACGACGAAGAACGACGGAAAAACTCCAAAAGAACGACGAAAGAGCCACAAAGAAGTAACAAATAAGCACCAAAAAACCACCGAAAAGCGATCGAAAAAAGAACGGGAAATAAGCACCAAAAAATAATTGATCGCTAGGGTCTTACAGGCAGACCCGTTACTTCTTGACATAATAATAACTGCAACCCGATACCCGACCCACTCGCGGGTGACCAACCACCAGTCATTACATAGTGTTACCACTACTGCAGTGCAGTAGTGGTGTTAACAACACCATGTAACCTTACTGCAGTGCAGTAGTGGTGGTAACAACATCATGTGATGTTTTTTCCCTTCTCTCCTTTTTTCACTCTCCCTCTCCACCACTGCAGTGCAGTAGTGGTGGTGCTAATAATAATGGAAACAGTTTTTTCCCTTTCCCTTTTTCTCACTCTCCTCCTCCACCACTACTGCAGTGCAGTAGTGGTGGTAAGAATAATAGTACCATGTGATGTTTTTCATTTTCCACTCTCCCCCTCCCTTTATCTCCCCTTCCTTTTTTTACTCTCCCCCTCCCTTCCACCTTCCCTTCCTTTTTTTTTTTTATTAACATTCTCCATCGGGAAAATTTTTATAGCGCAGATTTTTAAAAAATTTAAAAATCTGCGCAAATTATTAATTAAGTATATAGTATGTACAATTAAGTGATCGTAATGCAAATGCATTAAAATTATTTGCTGTAACAATAATATAAAACAATTTAATAAAAATTTTAATTTTTTTTTTATTTATTTATTATAAACAATTCTCTAAAAAATTGAGTCAATTCTCTAATTCTCTACAATCCCATAAAAAATAACTAATTAGAACCACGCCAATATGCCTTAAACATCTAACCCAACTTCAGATAACCAATTCTCTAACAAATCGGGTCAATCTCGTAGCAAATAACCAACTAAAACCACACCAATATACCTTAAACGTCTAACCCAACTTTAGCAAAAAAATTTAACCCATAAAAACACAACGGCTTTAGTGAAATACCAGCGATAATATGACACTAACAAAGGCAGAAAACACCCACAAGCGACGACGCTAGTAAAACAACAACCAAGTGACGCGGTATAAACACGAAAAAGCTAAAAAAAAAAAAAAAAAAAAAGGACTAAAAAAAAAATTAGAACTGTAATAAAAAAAAAATTCAAACAAAACACCTAACGCAACCACAAAATTGCATGAAAATACTCAAGAAAACTAACAAGGGACCCAAGGCAAAATCTATGGCAAGACACCCCGAAACGCACCAAAATAGGGATGGGCAATGTAATAATTTATGTAATCAATATGAATTTTTTACCTATTAATACATATCATTATTAACTATTTATTATTACGGCTGATTATGATTCACATGATTCACATATATATCATGGTAGTTTGCAGATACCAGCTTTTTTTTTTACTTATTATTACTTATTATTAAAAAATTTGATGCAATAATAAGTAATCGTACATATAAAAAATTGCCCATCCCTACACCAAAAGCAATGTCGAAATCGGCGACAAGACACCTGTTGCAACCACGAAGTTACCCAAGAAAACTGACAGGGTACCCAAAATGAAATCTACAACAAGAGACCCAAAAAGCACCCGAAACGACGTCGAAATCAGCGACAAGACACCAAGGAGTCATAGAAGAAATACTCAAGAAAACTGACAGGGTACCCGAAGCGAAATCTCCAAAATGCACCCGAAGCAACGTCGAAATTAGCGACAAGACACCTGAGGCAACCACAAAGTTGCCTAAGAAACGCCCAAGAAAACTGAAGCGAAATCCACAGGACACCCCCCGAAATACACTGAAGAAACGTCGAAATCAGCGACAAAACATCATAAGCAATTCCAACAAGGCCGAAATGCACCCAAAGTAGTGCCGAAAATGACAAGACACCTGAAATGACGCTATAAGAAAATAAATTCAAGACACCTGAAACTACACCATAAGAAAATAAAATTTAAAGAAAAAAAAACAAATATAGTACGTACTAATGATGTGAACCGGTTAGGCCATAATCGGGTAACCGAACCGAACCGAAAAAAATCGGGTAACCGGTTAATCAAATGCTTAACCGGTTAACCCGGTTATTCGGTTGACCCGATATAATCGGTTGACCCGATATAATCAGCTGACCCGATATAATCGGCTGACCCGATATAATCGGTTGACTCGATATAATTGGCTAACCCGATATAATCGGCTGACCCGATATAATCGGTTGACCCGATATAATCGGTTGACCCGATATAATCGGTTGACCGAAATAATCGGTTGACATCAATTTTTGTGGCTTAGATATGTAAAGATTTTTTTTTATTTTTTCAATTCGCGAATAAAAGGGTGATCATGATCTATATTTCTATATTGTAGGTCTTTATGGGTTTGAAACTTTGTTGAATTATCTTGAAGCACGAATAAATCTTCGTAGATACGTAGATACGTAGATACGTAAGATAATATATAAATCCTTTATTTTTTTTATTTTATATTTAGTATTAATTTTTTTTTTTTTTGCTACATCAGTATCGATCAAGTTTTTTCATTTCAATAAATACAGTAAGTAGATCTTATCACATTCATGCTTATACGAATTTAACTTACGCAATGCTCTTCAAATCGCTTTATTAAGAACCTATTTAGGCTCTCTTCTGTTCATGAAGTATTTTATCCATGACTTGAGAACTGTATATATTAAGCTGCAAACCTCTATAAGGGCATGCTCTTGGACCAAACTCTAATAACGTGCACTTAAGAGAACAATACATTTATGGAGGTCGTGGGCCAGAATTTTAGAGCGTGTGCATTTATAGAAGGTGCATTCAGTATTGCATTGGACATGTGTTCAATAATTTTGAAAGAATTGAACATATATAACTTTATATATTCCAATGATTTTCAAAACTGTTAGGCTTAGGCACATGTTCAATGCCAAAACTGGTGCACATATAGAGTTTTATACCTATTGTATACCGGGTTGGTGAAAAGTAACTAAACAGTGGCCTTTTATTAATCACTATGATTATCATTTTAACGTTTAGTAATCATTGCAATAAAGTTAAAAATTATTACAATTTTTAATTTATTGCAATGATTACTAAACGTTAAAATGATAATCATAGTGATTAAAAAAAG